CCATTGATCTGGTAAATTGAACAATTTTTCAGCATCGGGTGAAATACCATGAGTGAATGATAAATAAGTTGTAATTATATATCTATGCATAAATATGAGATTATTAATTTGCTTATTAAAAGCGTACGATACGCAATTACTCATCAGTGTCATAGGAGCCGCGAGCAGCGCGTGCTCGAATAGTTCTAGCTGGTCTATCTTCTGTTTCAAAATAACTTAAACATGGAACTTGACCAATACCAGATCGTTTTAAATTACATATTTCTGGTGAATCATATCTCTACAAAAAAGAAACATTTTTTTTTTCATTGCATATTATTTATTCTGAACATACTGTTGCATTTTGTTGAATTTCTGGTATCCATTCTTCACCTTTATTGATAAGATCTGATGGTAATGGAAACCATGGTTGAATTTGAGTATGTTCTTGTGGATCATAGAACCAACTGAATGGAAATGGACCTACATCACTCATTGGATCTGTTCTGTACCAACAGTTATTCTTCAAAAAAAATTTTCTTCGGAAAAGGAAAATGAAAAAATTTGTCGATTTACTTTTGTCCGTTCAGGATAATCAGGATTGAAATTAAACATTGCATAACCTTGTGAAGCTGGCTGAAATAGATGACTTCATAGTTAATCGTTTTTCTCCTAAGGAATTAATTGTTTACTTACTGAATCAGGTTCAGCACCTTTGGGTTTATATTGAATCATGTAAGTTTCTTTTTGTTTCGCTCGCCATCCTTGAATATCAAACCGAGCTCTTAAATTATCATAATCATACAATAAATATTGAAGGCCTTGTGTTATTGCCAATTGATATAATCCACTTATATTTAATGTTGTTTGAAATTGTTTAGGAAAACCTCGTTGACTTAGACATTGATTATTAAAGAGGACTAACAGAATCGAGAATAGCGCTTGTTTCATGGTTTTTTCTTTATGGGGAATAGTGTAAGAAAAATAGCAAGAAAGCAATAAGTTTTATATACAGATGCTTGCTCTGTTATCGTTAACAAAGATATCACGTTACAATTTCAATTATACTATTATATACAGATTGAGTCTGATTAAAATTCAACCACGTAATTTCTTTGTTCTTTTATTAAACGTTATCAATTGTCAATTTT